GGCACACACAAGGAAGTGTGTACATGCCTGGCACACACAAGGAAGTGTGTACATGCCTGGCACACACTTCTTGTGTACGCGCCACATAGCGTGGCGCTATGACAAGTACACACTTCCAAGTGTGTGCCACGCATGTACACACTTCCAAGTGTGTGCCACGCATGTACACACATTCTAGTGTGTGCCATGCCAGGCACACACTTTGTTGTGTGTGATTTTAAGTACAAACTTCGTTGTGTGTGATTTCAAGTACACACAAAGAAAAGTGTACTGTGTACTCCTCTGGGTTTACAGTGAACTTGCAGTGCTGCCGGTAAAGCCGGTATTACATTAGGTGACTGTGATATTCACCGTAATCTTTTATTAGTGCGTGCAACCACGCCCCGCGCCCAATACCACACTGAGAAAGGGGACTATCTAGAAAAAAACGTCAAGCAGCATTCCCCGTTCGAACTTTGCCAGGTTTGGCTTTTGAAGGCTTCCAAAGCGCCTGACAGGTAGGCAACGTCTTGCCAGTAGCGCATGCCTGTACTGCGGGATGGCCCACCCCAAGTCTCGCAGGCGCCGACCACCCTTTATTTGAGAAAAACGGACATGCTTTCTGGATGATTCCAAAGCCATTTGTTTGTCTGCCTCAAGAATGTTGTAGGAAAGAAAATTTACTTATTAAAGCCAACTAAACATTTAATGAAGTATTAGAAATATTAACATCACAACAATCATCTAACCAAAATGACCAATATTCGACTGACCGAACTAAAAGCTTGTTGGTTACATCACATCAACGCAGCTATTTCTCGTATCCTTCTGCAGACCAAGCAATTTTGAATCCATTCAGTTCGAAAGTGGGCTCCTTCACTCTCTCGTGCACCACTTCTACACCCTTCCCCTCATATTTCCTATGGCTGGGGAAGTAGCGGGGAGAACTAACTTTCGGACCAAATAGTACAAGCGATTTTTATTTTTTTAAATCGGTAAGCAAGTGCGAAACGATAGAGTGCAGTAAATGTACGATTCCCACGCTAAATGACGAAGGACATTTTTTGTAACTACCTATGGAGGTTTTTAACGCATAACTAATAACTTACAGTTTTGTGGGTCGTAAGTTACTACTTGTAACTAACAACACACAATTAGCAGTCAAATTTTATTTAGCCTAGTTATCTTTCAAATCGTCCTTAGTTAGTTACAAAATGTCCAAAATGGTCATATAGTGCGCCGATCTTAAATCTACAACATGTTTGTAAATCGCTAAATTACAGGCAAAATTATACATTTTTAAATATGTTTTTTTTTTTTTCTTTTACAGTTTACAGTGGTGGGCTCTGCCGACAGCCGGCGCTGCGGCCCTGCACGGGACACCCAGGGCCCAGGGGCCACTTGGCCGTTTGCGTGATCGGGTCGGTCAAGTGCTTTCCACGACTCTCGCAGCGCCTCGCGAATCTAAAATCGCTTTCGGGAAATTCCGGCTTCTCGAGCCAAAAAGCGCTCTGCAAACTACGGGCTCCCCTCATCTCAATTGCGAATTTTGTTCTCAACAAGACGTCGAGTTACTATGAGTCATGGTGATTTATTTCATAGGTGGATTTCAAAAGCAGGGGTCCGTAACTTAACATGAAACTCCCCTTTAGCGGTACGTTATCCGTTAAAGTTATAACTTATAACTTGTGACCATTCATTGAAACGATAAGAGTTAGACTCAAAATGCCGGAACAAGCTCCAACTAGCACCAGAATAATTTTTGACGACCCATAACTTTCACTTTTATTGCAAATTATTAAACGTTACGTTACATAACTAACGCATAACGCTAATGCGTTACACGTTAATTTATATAACTAACGCATAAAGCTAATGCGTTAAGTTACGGCACCCTGTTCAAAAGAAAGAGTATCAAATTACTAATTAGTTTTTACCACACGCATCGAATTCACCAAATTAATTGTGTCGTTCTCGATAGCTTCTCCGTCGACCACTTTTATTTTAACAGACATCAAAGATGCCCATTCGGCTGCAGAGGAGATTTCTAAGCAACTCGATGCGTCACTTCTTGGCTGCCAGCCTGGGCGGGGCGCGCCGCCTTTGCTGCTGCCAGGCCAGTCGGTATACCGAGTGGTTCTGTTCCGACACGTGGTCGGCACGAGGGCAGAAACGGCATTCGGCATGTGAGTAAACCAAACACCGAGACTGCTCATCGAAATGAGTTGATTAGTGCTGAGAGCGACGCCACCTTGTCCTAATCATGCATTGGC